GCATAGATAGAACGCTGGCCCTACTTCTCATCTAGCCTTCTGGAGTATACAGATGTGAAAGATGCCTCTGCTTCTCCCAAAGTATAAACCCAAACTCTTCTCTTAGCCATTCCTATCCCATCTTCCCACTCTGGTTGTCTTTCCAGGTTTTATGGCTTGCGTGAGACATATGAAAAGGTTTCCAGGGTTCTGAGGACCTCCTTGTCAGGTCCTTTGGTTTGAGAAACCTAAGAAACTGTAGTCTACAAGATGTGAATGTGAGAAGAATTTAGTAACCAGCAAAAATTCCATGTGTGTTCCCCAAGTTCACCCCACATGCTACCCACATAATCTACAGCATCTAGTACTTCACTAAAATACTCCACAGCAATAAGAAACAGCCATATTCCATTCTTTTTACACAGGAGTGTCTATGTATCAAAACATTGTGGTTACAGAGGTCTGTAACACAAGAATCCAGTCTTCCTTTAAAGAGAAGCAATGAAAGAGATCAACAACTTCAAGGCTTCTAACTAAAAGCCCAGACTTAAAAGGGGCCAGTAAATCTCTAAATGATGGCAAAATCATACGAGTGCATTCTCTTATGTCCCGTATGTTTTAATTCAGTCCACTCCCATATAGGTTGGAATGAGGGAAATTAAATGGTGGGTTACATTAGCAACCTGGTTACAAAGATGACTTGTAATGTTTTCTTTTTCCACATTTCCAAATGTAGATTGAGTTTTGTAAGCGAGGAAAGTCTGAGTCAGATGGAATTGCCCTGTTGATCTGCATTTTCACTATGCCTACATGCTGCACTTGCTTGCAGTGCAGGTTAAGCACAGAAGCAACTACTAAATCAGCTTTCTTTCACTGGTCCTTCCCAGGGTCCTAAGTAGTACCCAATGCTTACAGCAACTGAAAACTCTCTAAAACTGGGGCTTCATGAGAGGCTTCATGAGAATCCCCTCAGTATTTGCTTTTGCTTTTTCCGTAACTCTCCCCTCTTACAGGTGAAAACATAAGGACTCTGGACAGCACAGAATCCTATGCTATTTAAAAAAAAAAAAAAGTAGCGGGGGATTTGAGCTTATAGCCAAATACCTGTCATTCTCTCTTGGCTCTGCTACCTGGGCCCCACATGACCAAATGACATCACCTATTTATGCCCCTGTGCAACAGAGATGACAAGGATGGCAGCACTCATAAGGGTGACAAACAGTAAAACGAAGAAAGAATCCATGTAGACACTCAGCATAGCTCCAGCAGTGTACCATTTATGCTAATTACTAACCAGTCATCCACTGTGCAACTTCTTTACACACCAAACCTTCAGCATTTTGGAGATAAATCCTTAGCTGAAACTGATAGTAAATCAATCCACTGGGACAGCTTAAATCTTGCCTCTTGGCATTCACTTTAAACTATATG